GACGCCAGGAAAAGCAGACGTTTGTTGTCTGCTTCACAGCCCGTTTTATACCCGATATTTAGGGCATTTCGCAGCACATACAAGTTATTTTTATCGACAGAATTCATTCATAGATCTCAAATTTCATGTACAGAGTGTCAAAAGCCACACCTCTGCTCCCCTTTAATGTAGTGACTATCTTACAGTCAACGAAAAATTACATCTTTCATTCACCAAGCCGTGCTCATGGGAATATCACGTCTTTTGGAAGAAAGAAAAAAATGACAAACGAGTCGTCAGTGATTTCAACAACACTTTTACAATAAAGAAACGAACATGTTCATAAAAATACACATATTTTATTACAATGCGATTTACACAGCGTCTGAATTTACGGTGTAATAATGGGTAAGGTCTGTGGGAAAACTGTCAAAGGCAAGATCATTAAACATTATCTTCGTTGCGGGATGTTTTTGTTTGTACGCTTGATTCAAAGCAATTTCCACCATGTTTTTCAGCACGATTTGACCTGAAACAATGTCAAAGGTCAAGTCTTTTATTAACTAATTAAAATGTGTGTCATACTGACAAAATTTTCCGATGTTAAAATGCGATCTGTTGGCACTGATTTTGATAAAAAAAAGGTGATTTTTCCCATTAAAAACTGGTGATTCACAATTCTCAAAAGGTAATGTGGAGGAAGTATCTTTCACGGTCACCAACATGTCACGTCAAATAATAGTTTACTCGTTCAAACTCTATTCACGAGAGTCTTAATGGACATGATTATTCAGAAAGACAATGACCAGGTTTCATGACTTGATGGTCACGAAAGCTACCACTCAGATATATGGATTATTTTAGTATTGCAACATTGTGGTTCATCTTGAGTGAATAACAGAATAGAACTGGTTCAAACCATGTTGCGTACGTTTGCCATGCACTCTGAAATTAATGCGAGTTTTCTCATAAAAGCATGAACCAAACTACCATACCAATTACGATTTTTAAGCAATTAAAGACACTTTTTACATGTATATTTTAATAAATGTCGTTCACGAACGGTTAAAACACCCCGGGCCTATAATCTAGGATTCCCTTAACTCGTTAAATGTCTAAATATAGAGAGTTGGGCTTATAATCGGTTATGGGCTTATGATGGGGAAATATGGTGTCACATGTTTATGTAAGTTGCATATCCTTACCTAATATTGAAAAAAATTCTAATATATTTTTGTTTCTTTCTTTGAATTTCAGACAACTCTGGTGAGGTACAAGAGAGAATAAAGAATTATCTTCAACAGACACTCAGACTTCTTGAAGGTGAATTTGTGTCTTTGTTTTTATTATGATTTAAATGGTAGAAAGTAATCACCATTCCTTCTGTGTTTTAACCGTTTCACCACCAGACCATTTTTTACCCAAATTTGTCTGCGCTTTTTTCTTACATTCTTCAATATTTCTGTAAATGAACGCTAATTTTGAAGCCAACAGACGCAATTTGAGTCAGTTTTCATTTTTCACTCAAAAACTTTGTCTATTTTTGTCCCAATCTTCTGAAGGAAAGTGCAGATTTGTGATGAAAACAGGGAACTGGTGGTTAAAAGATTAGGACGTATATTTTGCTATAAGCCTTCACAAGACAAAGGTCATTTTTTTGGCCATTAACGCACCAACATCAACAAATATTAGTAATCACTATCAACTGTGTTAATAATAATCATAGTCTCTGACTTTCTTGGAGTCGGTGTGTGTTATGTCTACACTACTACTGTAGAATACTTTATTTTCGCTTGGAATTTATTTTCGCTGAAGGGATGATTCCGTGAAAATAAAATCCAGCGAATATACTTTTTTTTCTATATTTCACATTAAACTCATCAAAAATCAGTGAAAATAAATTCCATACAAAACGCCCAAAAAGCCTTTTCAGCGAAAATTAATTCCAGCAAAAATAAAGTATTCCACAGTATATTTTAGCTTATTTAATTAAAAATACAAAGTGTCCAATTGCTTAGCACTAATTTTTGCTGTGAGTACACCTGCTTTGACATTTTGACATCTCATTGTTTTGTTTCTTTGTTTCCATTGTCACAAGCTACACCAATTCTGATTGGTCACACATGGCATGTCCAATCAGATTTATTCTACTCAGGTCAAATATAAAATAGTTCCTGGTGGGAGTATTTTTTACGTAGAGTTTACAAAAATTATTTGATTAAATGAACTGTTAATTTACAATGGTAAGAGAACTGATTAAGCTCAGATATTGTAAATAAAATCAAGGAATTGACAAAAAATGGTTCTATATTTCTTCATGTAAATATTTTTCTTTATTTAAAGATACACTGTCTAAAAATAGACAAAGTCTTGTGACAGAGAAGGATGGACAGAAAAAATTGCATTATTCTGTATTACCCAACATGGTGCTTTTAACAGAGGTGAGCGTAGTATGGTTGTCAACCTAAATCTGTACATTGACATGTCTGCGTGATTATATGATAGTGGTATGTGCTGTTAAACCTTGATTGATTGCGAGTGTTAATGATAGTCAGAGTTGACACTGGTGGTCAAAATTGTCATCGATGGGGTAAGAGTCAAAGGTGACACCGGTGGTGAGTATGTACTGGTATTTACCTAACGTTTACGTCTCTTTGCAGAGTATCGGTTATATCACGCTTCTCTCTGGTGTGTGCTGTAAATTATTAAAACCAATTAAATCTATAATTAATAAACGAAACAGAAAGAAGAAAGAAGCTCCACAAGCAATGGTATTTATTTATTTTTCTACCTGTATATTTAGCTGTATATTGTATACAAGCACTGCAGTAAAATGTATGAATTAGTTCTTACCTAAAAATCTTTTTTTTTTTTTTAAGCCTGCAATATTTGAAACTTACAAGAAGTTCTTAGACAGCATTCAGCAGTTTGCTGATACGGTTCATATTGCTGTGTTAGACCTTGACCCAGTGTTTGTATCCATGGATCTCAGTCAACTAAGCCTTGTTGACAAGGAGACGGCTAAGTGAGGTGAGTGTACTGCCCCCCCCCCCCCCAAAAAAAAGTACTAATACTTTATCATGATTTATGAATAATCGTGTTCAAGGAAACTGAAATAGTCTTTGTTAGGGGTGACCATTAAAAATCTACGAAAAAATATTAGGCAAGATCGAGTTCCTTTTGTACACCCCATCCCTAATCCTAACTCTAACACTCACTCCCAGTTACACAATTCATTTGTATATTCCCCCTCTAGATAACTATAGATGTCCTTAGGAGGGGCATGTACAATTAAATGGGGAGTGCTGGAGGGTAAGGTTAGGGGTGGGGGTACAAAAATAACTCTTTTTAAATATAAAAGGACACAGACATAAAAAGTATTATATTTGCTGTATTAGTTACGTATCCACATACACAAATGACAGCTATGGTCAAAATGAGTCGTGTTACATTAAAGCGTGGGATTCGTCACCTACGCATGCGTCAGGTGGCCATAGCGTGTCATTGTTTACAAACAAGCGTCTACCCATGAGCTTTTGCGTTCTTAGTGTTTTATCATCGCTTGGGACTTGATTCCTGCGCGTGCACAGGTGACGACACTCTCGCTTTAAATACTACAATTGGATTGCTTGTGCTTCTGTTGCAGATGTGTCACTAATAGAGCTAATATGGTATATATATTTTAAAAAAAATCCATTTTATGATGAAAGCAAAACAAATATAGCACATCATGATTCTGGAAACTAAATTCTCCTTCTAAAGTTTCTAATTGTCAATCAATTGCATTTATGTAAGGTGGTCATCATAAAATTGTTATTTGTCTATATCCTTATATTGCCCTGGAGTAAAATGTATTGAAAAATGACTAAATTTGAAGTATTTTTAGTTCTGAGTAGGCTTCTACCTTAACTTATTTTTCCCACTGCAAAAATTTTAGCTGAATTAAATTTGATTTTCTTGGGTTGGGGTCGGCAGTACAAGATTTTTCTCATTGTAAAAACTTTAGCTTTTTGTTGTCCTTCACACAATCAAAATAAACTGAAATAATTTGTTCACATTTTTTCTATCAATATTTATCCTGACCTTTCAACTATAAGAAATTAAGTTGACTTGATCCAAAATTGACAAAGAAATTTGGGAAATTGTTTTGTGGGAAATAAAATAAAATTTATTGCTATGGTAAATGGTAAATCATATTTTAGTTATCTGCGAAGGATAGAAAAAGGGCTCACTTTGGGGTGTTTAGTGAATTCTTATCATAAAATGTTATTCTGTATTTCAGAGTGACCGGGAACTTGAGTCATCGATGTGGAAGAAAATAGAAGAGAGTTACAAACAGTCTTCACAGAATCTCTCAGGGATATTGAAACAGAAAATGGAGTATCTGGCAACACTCAAACTATAGCGTGGTGTAATATGTGGGGAAGTTTGTAATCATATTGTAATTTATTTCCTCCAATGTACAAATGAATGAAGCTTTCAGGGAAATTTGTTCTACTTGTGCCATATATCTGTGCTATTCTTCTGTTTACTGTCATCTTTTATAATACCTGTAAAAAAACTTTGATAACTAATGACAATTCATGCCCATTTATTCTGAAAAGTGTTGATTTCTTAACTTGTTCTGCCATTACTGGTTGTTGTTTTTTTTATATTCATAATGATTTGATATATGGTAAATTACATCCGTATTTGCCGAGACACGGTGCATCTCTTGGGAAGTTATCAAATAACAAAGCAGACAGTGGTTACTCTCTGGGAGTAACAGCATTGGAATCATTGGTCTTTACTTCATGACTTACAGTTGTCACAATAATGTTTTACACACCATCATCGCCAGCTAAATTGCAGACTGTTATGTGTGTGGTCTAAGCTAGGATACCTGATCAGAACTGGTTGGCTCAAACCAATATCACAAAAAGGTATGTCCAACTGATACTGAGGGACACCCAAAAGAACAATTGTTGGAAAAACAATTAAATAAGTTTTGACTAAGTTCAGAGAGTCAAAGTATTTCACAAGTCAAATTTCAAAAGTTGATTTATTTTCAATAATAATTAGTATAATGTAAATTTAATAATTAGCAAACAAACAAAACAAATTTAGATAATTGTATAAAGCTGACCACACCCTTGTAAAATGGTATGATCCAACAACTTCAAAACAAACTGCAGATGTACATAAGTTAGCTGGCAATGTTGCTGTTTTGTCCTGTCTATCTGGTCACCAACCCCTGCATGTGTGTGGGACAAGCAATTTTCCACATGATTCAATCAAACCTAAGTCCATTTGCATGAACGAGCTTCATCACATTTGTTTCCAAGATTGCCGACTGGATCCGCTTTGCACTGTGGCGCACATAGGTAATGTTTTAGGCTTGTATACACATCATTTGTTACTCTCTATCTCATTACATGCTGTCTGAAATGTACACAGACCAGCATGTCAACAGACTATATGATTCAAGATGGCCGACTGATTTTTTCGAATGCAGTATGTAATTTCCATTCTTGGCAATTCACAGAAGGATTTTAACTCCTCACCTATACCAAACTTGTGTCTACTATACAGCATCAATCGTTTAAAGAGAAATATTATATTTGTTCTATTAGAAAGATGTCTTTAACAGAAGCACACACATTGCTGGATCATTAAAACATGACTATTTTTATTACCATAGAAACATCATTTATGTAAATTCATGCACTACTAAGCGAACAAATGTGATTTGGAAAAAAAGTAATTAATTTTTCAATGTTTTGTTAACTAAACTTTTGTTCTTGATGTTTGCTTGTAATTTCTCAGTTTTAATTGTACAGTCAAATCTGAGTCATGTTTTTAGTGGGTGGATGAGGTAGACCAAATACAGTACCAAGTATGCTTTTCATTCCTGTACATATCCTGGTCTGATTTGAGGCTTGGATAGGTATGGAGTTAGAGGACATGTTATGTGCAGGTTTTATTTCACAGAGAATGTACTCATGTGATTTACTGTGGTTTCATAGTCAGTGATCTGCTTTTAGTGAAAGTTAAACAAGAAAAAAAAAAGCAATCCCACAATCCACTTTTGTTGAATCTGTTCCAGTTTGCGATTGGTATATTCAGTGATTTGGATGATATTCAGTCAAAATGTACAAAAAAGTGGGTCTGTGGTCTGTACGCTATATTGTAAACCCATTTATTTTCACTGACATTTAATTTCACTATTTAAGCAATTTCACTGGATTTTAATTTCCTGATTTGCAAGCAAAACAATTCCTTCTTTTGTTATTTTACATGTTCACATTGATTTAATTTAGTAAATTTTACATGTCAGCGAAAATAGCCCAATTAAAACGCTGCAAATAATTAATGCATTTACAGGATGAAAGAGAAAGATGAATCTATGAAACATTGGTAAACCACCTTAAAAATGAACGAATAGTTATCTGTTTGGCTAAATGCGAACTGACACACAAATTGAACATCTGGGTTGTCGTGATCAAGACCTTCATTTGTTTCTAAATCTGGTGAACTCTCCTGATTTTGCGATTCCTTGCTGTGTGGGAGACTAGTGATGCAAACACAGGTTTTTATAATAGTTTTTTTTTGAAAGAAGCGTTGTTGCAGTACTCAACCTAAAACGTCACTCTGGTTTTACAGGTTGTGCACCCCAAAGAGAGATTCTATTTTATTGCCATGTGTATGTTTCACATTGTGTACGTTTCACATCATGAAAAAACGTCTGTGTGAAGACCAACAATTTCTGCATTTCATATCAAACTTACCTCACTGAGATGGTCGACAGAACCTGTTATGTTTTCACAAATTTCTCATTTTATTTAGAAAATCTTTTTTTTATATAATCCAATAAAGCTTTGAATATTCTATAATTTGTTGTTGGATGTGTGTGAATTTTGTTTTGGATTACATGTAAACCAGTTGTAAATGAAACACAAAACCTTTTCTATCCGATGGAGCAAACTACCAGTAAATGGTGTAACAATTCTTTTTTTATTTTTTAATGTTTTTGTGCCCGGCGACAGTTCTGGACATTGAATGTCACTGTTGTCTCTCCTGACTTTTTTTTTGTATGTGTCAGTTGCAAGTGCTGACATGTAGTGCATTTTTGCCACAGAAGTCATATTCATGTTTTGGGACTACACACATGACAGGGCTGTGCGGCCATCTCTCTATCAAATGGCAATTTAATGCGCTATCCTGGCGTCAACCAGGCTCAGTCGAACACAAGCACCTGCAGACCTTGACCAAGGTTCCCCCAAAGTCGCATTTTATTAGTGAATGAATCTCGGCCAGTGGAATTGGCCTTCCCACTGAGTCTGGCACACTCGCCCAGGGTAGGTGTTCAGCCTAAGGTGGCATTTGAACTTGGGTCTACCGATCGCGAGTTTGATGCAACAACTACTATGCCACCAATTTTTCTTGGAGATTGGTAAAATGCAAGCTCAGGCAGAACATGCGTCAATTTCAGGCCTGTTTAACATAATTGTGATGTCAAATTTTTTTTTTGAAAGTCATAAATGTTCAAAAAAAGTGGTAAGATTTGCACAAAATGTCAATAAGAAAGTGGTTTTCATAGGCTAGAAGAGCATTGGCCGTCAGAAGCAGCCTTCAAAGGTTAAAAAAAAATATAAACTAATTTGAATGTCGCTTACATTCCTTGGAAAGTTAAACAAGATTGTTAAAATAATCTCGCAAATTTTTATTAGATATTTTCTCACTAGTAAATCATCTGTTAAAAAGTGCAAAGTTTGGAAAAGTTGAACATTTTGATTGAAAGTTGGTGAAATTTAATTGAAAGCTGAATGTGGTTGATAGAAAGTCAAACTAGTAGAAATCTTGCAAAAGTTTAATTTAAGACTTGTGTAACTAGGCAGTTATAGGTCAATTTCCAAATCATTCAGCTTAAATTTATATAAATTTTGAATCACTTCTTATAATTACATAACAGACAATTGTTGATTGCCTGAATTCATTCAAATTTGCATCCATTGAATGTTTTGATGTTGACTGATTCGGTGGTACAGCGATGATATACAAGCTTCAGATGACAATCTACTAATAAACTTTGTAATAAGACTTGTAATCGCTTTTTCAAACTTTCAAACATGCGTTATAAACTTGAAAGCAATGTTTTATAATTTATATCAATTGCACTATTATGTGTTTTACATGCTTCAGATGATAATCCGATAATACAATCACTTCATAATCACAGTTTTAATCACTTCACTGCAGGTGTCTACACGACAAAAATGTCACATTTTCCAAGCAGATCTACCAACTTTTCTATCGCTTTTCATAACTTTTTACAACTCGGGTGGTATGACAATATATTTATATGAATGCTTTCACACGACTTTTAATAATGTTTTGTTATAACTTTTACCTGCAGGGAATCTACCTTTTCAATAAAGCAGCCATCATTTGTTGATTACAAAAGACTACAAAACAATGTGATTTTTAATGAAATTCCATGCGAATCTTAAAATCTTTCTTTGAACATTGAGGCTATTTACATTCAGTATTTATTTTAACAATTGAAAGATTTACAAACCCTTAATTGTGGAAAAATTGTATTTCACCGAACTGCCTAAGTTTTTGTATGAAATGTTTTTAGTATTCAACAAATGTGGTGACCATTTTGTTTTCTTGGGGTATCATAGTCAATAATTAGTTATTACTCATATTCCAAGGTTTATTTGGAACTTAAAAAGCAGATTAAAATTGGAATTTCCCACTTTCGAAATGTTGATTTAATATTACCGGACGGCCATTTTTTTTTTTTTAGTTTTAAGGTCAAAGTTCAAATTGGAATATCCACACAGTCACTGTATCAGGTTATGCCTACTTTCCCCAAAAAATGTCCCAGTTCTCTTGATTATTACTGCCAATAGTGTTGCCCTGAGAGTCGCGTGGAAAATAATTGGAAAACCAGGCCACATATCCGTTTTTAGCATGGGATATTCTGTGGAAACAATGTTCACTGACAACAGAGTCGTATACTTATCTGTAAAGTGCCTTATATCGTAAAACATATGTTCATATTCTTTTTCTAAACGTGAAATACATTTTTGTGTGTTATATTTACTTTTTACGTGTTTGGGGGTTGATGACGCCAACTACGACAAGAAAGAGTAAGTATTAAAGTGGTCGTTTTTATTGCCGAACACTGAACCACGGGATCGAAAACATTACATATTGATGATAGTTCAAAATATATTTTAGTAATATGCGTCTGCTGATTAAAATGCGGAATATTTTGGGTCGATGATATCCAGTAAACAAATGAAACACAGGACTCTCCGGTAAACAGCAATATACAATGTTGCGTTCCTTTTTATCTGGCACACTGTCGAAGCAGCTGCACTACAATATAACTTGTGCTCTGTGTCAGGGAGTATC